AGAACAAACAGCGCTGAGAGGGGAGATACCTGCCCCGCATCGCAAAGCAGATGAATTTTGAGTGCAGACGGACACATCGTTTCTCTCACAGCCCATTGTTAAGCATCTTGGTTTCAAAGAAGCTTTAAAATAATGGAGACACTTTTGTTTGCGGTACTCTTTTAAACTTTCACGTTTCCTTCTTTATGTTAATACTTTACACAAATCCTGCAGTAATTCATGGTAAATAAATGTCCTTGTTCTGGAACAGTATTGACTGCAGTTTTTGTACAATCACGTTATGTATCTTGCTTTGTTTGGCTTTATTCAAGGGCTTGGTATTGTGAATTACCATGTTATGAAACCATGTGAAGTACGTTAGAGACCATGATTCTAGTCTCACATATTTTTTTTTCACAGGAATAATTCTATTGACTTTAAGCAAATCAGCCTTGACTTTTAGTCAGGTGGATCAGAAATAAACTCTAGATATTTACAGCATCCTCATTTCTGACTACACCGAGTTCTGTGCTTTGTTTCACTGCATGGCTTCATAATTTTTCTTACTGTATTAAGAGTTTCTTAATTCATGAAACCTGTTTAAAATAAAAGTCTTATAAATATTTTTCTACTTTGTATTTCTCACCATTTTTTCAAGTATGCACATAATTTCATGGTCACGGTCTTACTTTCCAGTCAGATTGTGGATGCTTTTCATATTTAGGGCATTTTAATCGCCCGAGACAGCTGTGACTCCAGCCCCGTTACACAAATGAAGATCACTCCATGAGTCTCCGCGGTCTTTTCAGCACCATTCCTCACAGGCAACTGTTTGACAGAAAACTAAACTAATTTAAAACCAGTTTTATTTAGTCTGTAAATGGCTTTTGCTTAATTTACAAATACCAACCCAGTATTTGTTTAAAATCAGCCTTGCACTGTTACGTCCATGCTAATATGTTAAGCCTTTTTACTGGCTTCTGTGCACCCTTTGCATCAAATTTTAGCTCCTCATCATAGACTAAGCTGCAAAGATTAGTTCCAATCTACCTTTCAGTTCATGATTTGTAGCTTTTCTTTATTCCACTTCAGGAAATCTTTCTTCCCTGCAATGATATCTCAGGGTCAAAAGTCTTCCTAACTGGTTTGGATGGAATTAATGATGAGCAAATTAAGCTACCTGATTTCCTTGTGCAATCAGGTAATTAGTCATCTAATTGCTGGACTTTATATCACCAACTTATTTCTTTCATCTGACCTTGAATAAAAAATCTTGTGCGGAAAAAAAAAGAACCCATGTTAAAAAAAAACAAAACAGAAACAAACCACAAAAAAACAACCCATGCCTCAGACAGTTTCCTGATAAATAAGGACAATTTGACTTCTTTATTCCTAAATAGGTAATAACTGACTAAATTTTACTTTCAATGTATCCCTCTTAGAATTAGGATCAAGTGAAGAACAATGAGGCCTGTCACTGCTCTTCTTCAGAGAAGGTGACTGAATACGGAACCATTTTCAAACAGCGGTCCAGTTGCAACTCCTACGTGTGGGAGCTTCTCCACCTTCTACATCAAGCTTCATACTGTCCATAATACAAAAAGATATGTTAGAAAGCATTTAATTAACATCTTTGAAGGTGTGTAAGGTTATTGTCTTCCTATTTTTTCTAAAGAAAAAAGGGACTTCAGTGTCCCGGTTTTCAAAGATCAAGTAGAGACACCAAATCAGAGTTTGTTTTTCAGATGATGTTGCTCTAGACCTTTCCAGAAGTTAGACTTGTTTGAAATGAGAACGAGTAGGATATAAAATATAGACAGAGCTATAGCCACCAGTCATGAAAATGTTTTCTGTCTTTAATACATTGAGTTTAGTGGTAAATAACTTTACAGATTCCTTTCTGACCTGAATTCGATCTTTTCCTTTTGCTTTGGGCTCCCAGTTGCATTATTTCCCCTCCATTCAATGGTCTGTTGGTGCAATGAGTCACTGCGAACTATGACACATGCTTTAGTGCCACCTCTAAAGTTTGTGCCGTGCTTTTCCTGTAGATTAATTAGGTACTTCAGGATCCAAGCACTGTTCAATAGCAGTAAAATCCATACATTACTCTCGTAAAAGCTGGTAACATGTTACTAAAATGTGGCTGGGAACCATGATGCTGCTTGCCGTGGTTTTTTTTTTGTTGGGATGTAGACACAATAAAGATTTCTCTGGGCATTCACACCTACTTAATTTTGTCTTCTAATTCTAACCTGCCTGAGGAAGAAAGGTCTTGTAGTCATTAGCTGGATCTGCAGACAATCAACGCTTTAACAAGTACATGACTCAAAAGTGTCATCGGAATGATCAGGGAACTAAGGGCTTTCTGCAGTCATGAAGGCTGTGGCAAGTGTCTGCTTTACAGGCTGATGTTCATGTATCTCTTCATGTTCCTTTGGAATTTTCAATTTTACTTTACTTACGACTTCCTCTTCCTGCAGTGGCTACAGTCTCTGGGCTGTGATTTACTGCTGCTTGTACTGCCCCTCACTGTGAGGGCTGGGACATGGTTTGATCAGGTAGTTTCTCTCACCTCGCCAAATAAACTGTACATTAAAAACAAAAACAAAATAAAAGCACAGCTCAAACATACAGTACGCTAATGTTATGGGCCTGGTGAGGGATATCGTAAAGTCTGACCACAAATTGCTTTTTTTTTATAGCCATGGCCTTAAAGTAAAGAATCACAACTAGGTAAGAAGTGGAAGGGGCCAACACGCTGCCAAGTGTTGAATGGACATTGCCAGGCAGTTCAATAGTTGTGGGGAGAGTCTTTTGTTGTGGTAAAATTGTGAAGGGATGAGGAGTAGAGTTTTGTTTTGAAAGTGTATCACCCCCCTTTGTTGGTGGTGTGATGATGTGGTTTAAATTTTTGGTGTGGATTTTCTCCTAGCTGTTGTAATGAAGTCTATGAAGAGTCCATGGTGAACGCGTCTCTTAATGACAGTTCAGCTAAGACCTATGACTAGTAGCTGTTGTAATGAAGTCTATGAAGAGTCCACGGTGAATGCGTCTCTTGATGACAGTTCAGCTAAGACCTATGACTAACCCACAAAAGAGGATGTTGACTATTAAATCTCACCAGTTTGAAGGGACTTTACAAGGGCATGATATTAATTTATTCCTTGGAAAAACACAGAGCACTACATACCCTGAGCTTACATGAATTAGCATGACGAAGGAAATGGGGAGGTGCCGTTAGAATCTACAAATGTATAGTCAAGGTGTTGTGCTTCTGCAAAAACACAGAGCACTACATACCCTGAGCTTATGACAAAGCATGACAAAGGAAATGGGGAGCTGGCGTTAGAATCTACAAATTTATAGTCAGGGTGCTGTGCTTCTGCATGGACTATAACCTCTCTCCGCATCTGAAAAGGTTCAAAACGGAAACTTTGTATGGTTGCCCTGTAATCTCTTCTGCTGTTGTGAAGGTTTTAAGGGGAGTAGTGTCCACACACATCTGTCTGGAGACGAGCACTGCTTCACGTGCTGCTTTGTGAAAGAGTGGCGGCTCAGGGTCTGCACACAGTGACCAAACGGCTGCCGGCTGCTCCTGGTTTTCTTTGTTATTCAGGGGTCCAGCATGAGAGCTGGACTGTGAGTACTGAGCTATTTTTGTTGGCTCACAAATGTTGAGCTGATGGTATTGATTTTTCGCAAGGATGTTGGGAGCAGTAATAAAAAATAAAAAATAAAGTCAAGAATGATGAGGCTTTACAAATAGCCAATAAAAGAACCCACAAAAATCTTAGTAAACTCTTGGGCCATTCAACCTTGACAATGTCCTTTCCAATGTGAATCCAATCTTCTCCTGGTGCTTTGAGCAGCCAGCTGCATTTATTTCCACCCTCATAATGCTCTGCTGGCTCAATGAGTCACTCTGAGCTACACTTTTAAGCTTTCACACTCTACACGGTCGCCCTGGGAGAGCAGAGAAAGAAATGCATAGTGGAGGACTTGAAGTAAATGATGAAAGTCCTGTTCATCAGAAGGAACTCCTCCTGAAGTCAATGGGAGGTGACAGCGTGGGGTAGCTGTGAAGCTAGACCCCTTATCAGACTTCACATGGACCACCCAAGCACACACGCTCTCCTTTCGTGGACTTTGGGATTTACAGTCTTTGATTTACCCCATGAGCAGGTTAAAAAACAAAACATAACTGCAGTCATTTTTATTATAAACTTTATTAGCTTGCTGAATTTGTAAAAATACAAACACAAAGCAGTTGTTGAGCACGGTGGTTTTAAAGAAAAAAAAAAAGTGATTTTTAGTATGAGATGATATTCCACAACTGGAGCCTAAACTGATGCAGAATCATTCCATACCTCTCAAAATCAAAAATGAGTTATCCAGAACTATATGCTCCATATGTAAGATTTCCGTAATGGAAGTCCCTGAAGAAAACTGACTCTCGGTGTCTGAATATTTCATTATTTCTGACACGAGGGACTTAAACCACCAGTCTACTTTAAAACCATAGTAATCCGTCTACTTATATTTCATTACACCAACACATAACTGAAGCAACGCAGTCATAAACTAAGGCAAATATTTCTAGAACTACTCACTAAGACGAAAAATAGAACAGGTAATATAATGTTCTTTATGGACAGATGCTAACAGCACTGAGTGCATGGGATAATGTCTTATTCTACCAGCAGTTTCATTAAATTCACGGGGGCTAACCGGGAAGGGAGTTACAGCACAAAAGACAGCACGCGGTTCCCAGTATCTGGATGTCTGGTAGCACAGTGCCCTCTGTGATGAGGTTCCTGTCTGGATCCTACGAAGACACATGTAAGAGACAAAAGAAATTCATGAGCTTGGAAATGTACCTGAAATACTGAGATAATTGAAATCAATTAAATAAAAAGACCTCATTGAGCTCCAACAGCCCATCCTGCTTCAACCCTTACTAGCTGTCTTTGACTGTGATTTCACTTCCTCCTAGGCAAACACAAATCAGCAGTGTAAATCTAGTCAAACAGTCTCCGAAGAAAGGACTTCTTTGCCGGCGTTGTTAACCTCATGGTTTTCTTTCTGCGCAGTGGTTTCATGGGTTGCTTTTTCAGGGGCATCACTTTTTTGGGAGTTTGTAGGCCTTTATTAAGGTCAACGTGCTCGTTGCAGAAGTACTTGACATTTGCTTCTGAGAGGCGTAGGAGCATGCTCTCTGAGAGATCCATACATTGCGCGTGGACCCAGTGGCCACCCCCACTGGAACACAGGATCATTGCAGGCTTGTTGAGTTCTGTTGAATAGAAAGGGACCCAGGTGTTAATGTCAAGACTGCACCTGGCAGAGCAGGTGATCCAATAGCCCGTTTCTGATTCATCTTCTTCATCATCTTCGTTGTAAGTGTCAGTATCATCAACAGAAAAGCTACTGGCTTCAGCACTAAAACAAAACTCCTCTGAATCTTCAAATGGAGTGGAGTCTCCAGGGTCTTCACTCGATGTCTGACTGCAAATTTGTGCTGTCTGTTCTTCCTCCTTGTCCTCTTCTGCTCCCTTACATCTCAAAATGTAGAAGTAGTTTGCATCTGACACCAACTGTTTGTTGGCCCCTGGAATGCCCAGCAATACAGACCCTTTGCCCATATCACAGCCAAACCAGATCCTGCAGTGTTTAATATCTGCCGTCCAGTCCGGGCTCGCCCTCTCAACAATCTCTATCTTACTGTCTTCCAGTACTATGGTGTTACACACCAATCGCTTCTGGCTGTCAGACTGGTAGCCCCCGAGAAGGACGAATTCGGTATCACTCGTTTGAGTCACTATAGCGCTCGACACAGGTATTCCCCCTGGCAAGACAGTGCAGGTCACGGCTGGGCTGCCCAGCGGAAGATCAATTTTTAGCTTGTACAAGCTGGGGGATCTGGTGTTATTCTGAAGCGAATGGCCTCCCAAAATGTAGATAGTATCATTTCTGGCGACTGAAACGTGGAAAGCAAGTCCATCTTGAAGTTCCGGAACTATGTATGATGTACAGCACCCAAACTCCAAATCAACGAGAAACACAGATGGCAAACAGTCAACTACGCTGTTCCATTTTTCAGTGGTTCTTTGTGAAAGAGGAGTATATGATCTCCCTCCGAATATAACGCTCATGCTTTTTCCCTGGCTATGAACTACGTTAATTGTATGCCCATATCTAGCTTCAGGGACATCTCCACTCAGGTCTTTCTCAACGCACTGGAACATGGTTTTCTTGCTATTTCTGCTTACCAAAGTCATCACGTAAATCTTATCAGAAAGGTCATTGTTAGGCGTTTTCCCACCATGGATGATATACTGGTACTCATCCGCCTCCACACTGCTTCTGAGTGTGCAAAGAGCAGGGTAGCGGAGAGGGGGGAGGTAACAGGAGTCTTTGGAGAAGAAAGCAGGTTTCATTTTGAGCTCGTCTTCCTTTACATCAAGGAGGAAAACACCAGTGGGACAGGATCTCTTTGGCCATCCTTTCTGCCCAAATAAGAAAACATGCCCATCGAAATTCAGGAGTGAGAAGCCTGGCTGAAACAAAGATGAATTACTGACAGTTGATACCATCTGCAGCGACATATCGTCCGCTGACTGGGCCATAGCGTGGTCAGTATCTGAGAAAAAAACCAAAACACAAAAGAAACAGGTTAAACGTGGTTTAGCTGCTATGTGAGTTGCTTAACGGTACTTGAAGAAATCCTACTGTGGTTTGCACTTTTGAGACAGAGATTCCTTCCTGGAACTCAAGACACAGGTCAAGCAAGAGTTGTGTCCCAGTTCTGCGGGGTTTCATAGAATCGTGGGATCACAGAACGGTTTGGGATGGAAGGGACCTCAAAGCCCATCTTTTTCCAGCCCCCTGCCATGGGCAGGGACATCTCTCAGCAGATATGGTTATAGAATCAGAGAACAGTTTCAGCTGAAAGAGACCTTGAAG